ATAGTTGAGTGTTATAATACTATGATTTAAGTTCTTTTGATCAGTTCGTGTGCTTACCAAAAACTGCTACATAGGCATCTTGTAGAAAAAAAAAATAGTAACGTGCAAAATTGTATACACTGAGAACCAAATTTTTCCGACGGTCTAAGTGTACGACCGAGAAGTGTGTATAGACACATATGTTAGAAAGAGATAGCGAAGCCCATCTCCGCGTTCCCTATCAACGCTGGCGCGGCAATCTATCGCGTTGCCAGAATGTTACACCAACTTCTTGAATTAAGAAGCGTGTTGAAAATATGCATTAGTTTAGTATCTACGCTCAAGTAATGGTTTTATTTTGAGCATACACATTTTTGAATCGGTACTAGCGACGCTCTATTTAGGTCGAAATGAAAGGTTTGGCAACACCGCATCTCGTACATTCCGAGGAAAGGTTTGCACCTCCATGAACATAGATGAGCGATTTTTGTCAGTGCCCATCTAGCGCTCATTGGGGAGTGTCGTCCTGCTCCGAAATGGTTTTCAACTGCGTACACGCCGACAGTGATAATGTGTATTGCGTAATGGTATTTGTTACATTTTCCGACCGCTCACTGTCGCATAATGTAACAATAACTCAGGATGTGTTGATTTTATTACCATCATGGGAAACCAAAGATAATCCTAAAATGAATTAAAGTATTCGCACCAATATTGAAATAAATAATTCTAATCAAAATGAAAATAAAATATGAAATTGTATGTTCGAGCAGACCTCCTTCTTGGGTTTGACAGTGACCTAACCTATTGTACAAGTCTGTACGAACATTTTCTGGTGAAACATATTCGCAACGCAGCACCTTGCACGACCTTCTGCGTCACCATCGCTAGGCGATGTGGTGATGCTCTTCGCTCTTCAGCCTGCTTCTATCTCTTCCTAGCATATGTGCTTATAAGGACGTCTCTCTCGTATACAAACAGATCGGCCCCTCAACATGTCCAAAATAAATTCAAGTTTCAATTACATTTTAGCGGCAACTACATCAATGGACAAACTCATGTTTGAGAGATACAACGATTTTGTACTATTCGAAAGTAGGCATCCAGCATGAATATATACTAAGTGACATATAAATCCTAACACCCAGTTCAAATGGTTTTATTTTAATAAAATTTTGTATAAGTACTTAATGAAGCATAATAAGTAAATGATAAAAATTCCAAATGGTTGCACTGCTTTAAAGCCCTTTGACCTTTAATAATGTGTGGATGCACCCTGATGTGCTACGCATTCTCCAACGCGCCTAGGCATGCTTCTGATCAGGTGGTCAATGTTCTCCTGTGGTATCTCATTCCAGGCAACCACCAACTCCTCTCGAAGTGCTTCTAGAGTCTGAGGTGGACGTTGCAAATTGAGCAATCTCCTACCCATCATATCCCACACGTGCTCAATTAGGGATAAGTCGGGAGATCTTGGTGGCCATGGTAACAATGTGACATCATTATGTTGAAAGAAGTCTATTGTGACTCTTGCAACATGTGGTCGGGCATTATCTTATTGGAAAGTTGGATCTGCCAGGGTGTCAAGATAGGATAAAAGATGGGGTTCTAGAACTTCGTGGATATAACGCTGCGCGTTCATGTTACCTCTGATGGAGATAAAAGGTGACCTGGGACCATAAGCTATAGCACCCCAAACCATAACTCCAACAGTGTGATGAACATGTCTTTCAACAAAAAACTGTGGATTCCTCCTTTCACCACGTCGCCTTCTAACCCTGGCACGACCATCGTGCATGCCTAAACAAAATCGAGACTCGTCACTAAAGACAATACTGTTCCATTCTTGATCCCAGAGTGACCGTTGTCTGCACCACTCAAGGCGATTACGTCGGTGTTCTCGAGTTAAAGGGAGGACCCAGTGTGGCCGGTATGAAAACAAGCCAAAACTTCTCATCGTACAGGTCTCCGTACTCTAGGCATCGTAACCGATCGTAAAGGATGTCAAGAACCAAAATCCGCCAACGATTCTTTACTGCGGCTGAAATCTTCATTTTTAGAGCGTTAGTGAATTAAAAAAACCAGTATAAAAAACCGGAATGTCCAACTGATAAGGCTGAAAATTTTTTCACTTGTTATTTACAGGAAGATAAATACATTCACCAACTTTTATTAAAATAAAACCATTTAAAACTGGGTGTTCGGATTTATATGTCACTTAGTATATTTTTCTGAGATAACGATTTAATAGAGTTAGGGCAATCACAGAGATCAAGCAGTTTTATGCATTAATTTCCAGGAAAATCACAGAGATCAATCAATTTTATGCAATAATTCCCACGACAGACGGACTTGTGGTTGAAAGAACTAGTATTAACGAGCAAAGTAAAACTGTGAAAATTATAAAATAAAACTCTTCATTAATGTAGTTTTACTAAATATGCCTTATCCCAGACAATAACGACATAACGAGGTGTCTAACGTCATACTCACTGCATGTATTTGTATGTACATACATTTATTCTTAGTGATCCTATTCCAAAACTTTTCGTGTATTTTAAATACATTCAAGGCTATGTTTCGGAAAAAAAGTGGAAGTTAAAAAAATTTGGTTTCAAACATTTACTTCCTGTTTATACCCTATTTCTTTCGACTTTCTATCTTCTTAATTGAGGCACTTCCTATTTTAAAATTTCTAGTATATTTTACATTTTGGTGTGAAGTATTACTTCCGGCTTGGCACTCTATTTTTTCAAATTTTAGTATTTAAAAGAATCATGTTATCATACTGCAATTTTCTGTCAAAGTATATTTAAACAGACTTTTAGAACTTAAAAATGCTCATATTGTTACCTAATAGTGCAATATCTCACAAACCAGTGTACTTAAACAAGTACCTAACGTCGTACCAAGTGCGACATGTGTGAACATGAAAGTACCTCTCCTCCCACTTTAAAACGTCTCGCTGACGCACCTTGATTTTGTTTTAAATTTCTAATTTGATCCTTCTATCAAAAAGTACAAAATAATTTCTAAATAAAACCTTCTGTTTAATAATCCAACGTAATTCTTTTAAATTCTTCGAAAAATTCCCAATTTCAAATGCGGCTATTTTTCGAAGCCCGTAGTTTAGCAAATAAACGTGCCACGAAAGAAAATAATGTTTTCTCTTTCATACCTACTAGATATAAAAAAAACTAACTTTTTTCCGTGGTCCGCTTCACATGGATCACCGTCCGTGAACACCCAGGAATCTGAGTAATACGTTCACCGACGGTGATCCTTCTGTTCTGAAGCACTTCACGGTGGACCATCTCGATAACCGCATCCGGAACTGATAATCTTCGACTTCTTTTTTCATAGTGGTTGTCATTCCGACATCTCTATAACTGACGATGAATGGATGAAGTTCCTTTCATGTTCAAAGATCGAATTGCGGAACAAATCTCGCACTTGATGGGATCAACAATGAGATCCTCCATATTGGACGGCTGCTGAGCCAAGAATGAGGGGCGCAGCGTCGCGCGGCAGGAAGGAATCGACAGTGGGGTTAGGTTGGTGTTGCCGGATTCGCTTCGCACATTCCCGTGTGGCTATAGCTCTTTGGGAACTTTATTTTTGCCTCGTACATTAAAGCAGGCACAGAAAAGGTTTATTCGATTGTGTTTGCCCTAAATAGGGATCAGTATTTATTAGTGAGCAGTAGGCAGGCTGGGCTATCCTAAGACGACACACGACGGACAATACAAAGGAAGAAAAAATGTGCCGCTCTGAATAATACATATATGTCACATCCAATAATACTCCTGGAGAATTTGGCTTGAAAGGTTTGGGCAAGGAGATTCGTATTGGAAACACCTAAAGAATTTTTTGGACGTTTTGATTGTTGGCTCGTCTGTCTGTCCGCTAATTCTTGGCACGTTTATAACTTTGAAAGTACCAGCCGGATTTTAATGACATTTTTCCACGTGGTTAAGGACGAAAAAGCTTTGTACTTTTTGGAAATCGGTCCAGTGACGGAGGAGAAAAAGAATTGCGAGGGTAATGGGTTATAGGGGTCCCTAAATGAATTTATTGCTTAATCTAATGGTGGTTCTGTAATAGTCAGTGCAGCCCTAGAACATTTGTTGTCAATTGAAGCTGATGTTTCAGGTGTAGATCAAAAATGTTTTGCAATTAAGAGTAGATTTGGGAAAACATGTTCATGCTTTTTCTCCTACTCGTGCTTATTTACATTAAAATGAAAAATTCAGATCATCGGTTGTTCAAATAAATCTCACTAAAGGTCTTCACTAGAACAAAGATAAAATGTGCCTGTAAAAATAAAGTCGAGTCAAGAGTTAACGTTTTAAGTAATTTTATCTTCAAGTTGAGTCGGGTTCCTTCTAAAAATATCAAGCTACAAGTACTTGACTTGATAATAATGTATGAAGAAAACGTGTCATTAAAATATGATATTTCTGGTATTTATTGGAATTATTTTATATTTAGATTTCATCTTCACGAGTAATCAATTATTGAACACAAATGATTTGTAAACTATTAGTAATTCACTTAAAATCATTTAAACGTGACCGATACTTATTTTTACAGAAATAGTCACAGACAAGAGCTCAGAACGCGTTATGGTTTTTCCTCATAGCCACAATGTGTTGTGGTTATATAAGATGGCAGTCACAATGCAAATTCTGCTATGTGGTCTTCCTGTGAGTGTCATAACGTGCATGTGTAGTCATTCAATTTTGATTAATAACTCTCTCTCTTCAACCTTATATGTATCAAGAAAATGAAAATAACTTAAAAAACTTTTATCAAAAATAGTGGAGCGCTTATTTGAAATATCACTACAGTATAAGAAAATACAAGCGGTGTCATGCATCACTCTGATAAGGATATAGTCCGTTATACTCTTTTAATGAAGATGACTGATCCAGAAAAAATGTCAGCAAGCCTTGAGCTTATTTAAGGGGTGCGTCTATGTGTGTTGCTGAAGCTGCAAATTATTTTTTTTGTTGTTCCAGTTAACAATCCTGCTATCCACCGTGCTTGCGCTATCAGCCTGCAGCAAGCTCCACAAATGGCCTTGGGCGTGGGCAGGCTTCCATGCTGCGCAGGGCCTGCAAGGCATATTATCAGCAGCCTTGGTGGCTTGCGATTGTCGTCTGCTCAAGGTGTACACCAGAAGTGTGAGGACCAGGGCAGCGAAACAAGTGACAGCAAGCAGCAAATTACCAAACGTTGACAAGTCGGCCAGTATGCAGTTGCTGACCTGGGAGCCACTTCCGGATGCCGTGTAAACACGGCTTAACGCAATTACATGGACTAGTATAAGGTGAAAAAATAGCCCGCAACCGGAGATCAGATATTCAGCGCTAGGACCGTCTATTTATCACAAAATTAAACAAGCTTTGAACTTTATATTGGAACGATTAGGCGCTTTACGATTTCGCGGTGTAAGCACAGCTTGATGCGAGTTCTTAAATTAGCAAAGGTGATGAGCCGCACCAAAAAAAAGCTCAGAAACTAATCAGGGCGTCCATTTATTATAAAATCTTTGATCGAACGATGTGGGCACAGCTTACTGTGATGTTTTTTTGATTACATAAGTTGGAGAAACAACTATTGCCATAAAGGCTTAGGCATTGGATATCAGCAGCGTATAGGCATTTCAAGATAAAGAAACAAGCTTTAAATTTTATTAATGGTATAGTGACACCCTCAAAAGTTTTGCTCGATGCGCTTTCTTGAGCCAGCACAAGGTCAAGGAACACATCCACAAAAAAATAGAATCATGCGTTGTATGTTCATCACAAAATGTAGAGGCGAGCTTTGAACTTTGTATTACAATAGTGAGGCCCTTAATAATTTCACGGAGTAAACACAGCTTAATGTGACATATATAATAATTTTAAGAAGACAAATTCGAAAAGAAAGCTCATATTCAAATTAAACCTTAGACGGGATATATATATATATATATATATACATATATATCACTCTATATATACATGGAGATATATATATATATATAGGTGAAAAATTAAAGCTTCCGCCTTTTGTTGGGTACTTCGACAAAATTTAAGCAAAGAGGACTCTTTATACTTTTTTTAATTCTCTCTAGCTTTCAATGGACTTTGCCATCATCATCAGGAGCTGCAATTACAATGATAACAGTAGCAACAAAGGTGTAAAATGAATTTAAATTGATTCAACTTACAGTAGTATGTGAGGATGTTGCTAATTGTTGTTTACGTATAGGATGAGGGAAACGTCCAGTAACATGGTGAGAGCTGGATAGATTGTACAATGGTCAAAATTATATAAAATATGACAAGAACAAGTTAAAAACAGATTAAAAATTATTTAAAAAACATTAGAGCATTACATCGTGAAGCCACTTGATGATTGCACAAATTAGTGGTCATGGAATAATGAGTGACATGAAACCCTTTGACAGAAGGCCGAAGGATGTCAATGTCTGTGTTGAAAGATGGAACGAATTGTGGGCGTGTGCCAAACGTTGCCAAATCACTTCAAATGATGAGATTTTCAGAATTTTATGTAAGAATTTGTTAAACCGACCAGAGGCAGTTGAATAAACTATATTTTAATTAATGGGAATTTAAATTAACAATTATTAATAAATCGTGAGAAGAGAATTATTATATTTTGAGTGGAATGAAATTTACTGGTGGAATCGGCCAAAACACAGATTCTAATTATGGTTGTGAAGAGTTGAAATTTGGGGAGATATGTAAGTTCTCCAATTTTTCGCAGTTTAGCAAATATGAGTAAATGACACTCAGTTGTTTAACATCTGTCTTTTTGTTGATACAGTTGTTATTCTTGAAGATGTGGGACATTTCCAGGAATAAACGTTTGGAAAGGTGTTTTTCTTTATCATTTACTTTGATACTTGTGTAATTCATAGAATGCCCTGTTGTGTTAACATGAGATGCTAGAGCGCATCTTTCAGGATGAAGCCTAGCATCACTTTTGTGTGATGTAATCCTTCCTTTAAGAGATCTGGAGGTCTGACCTATGTATATTTGGTTGCAGTTGTTGCAATTGATGGAGTAGACTGTGTTGGTTAAGCCAAGCAGCGGGACTTTGTCTTTCCAAACGTTTATTCCTGGAAATGTCCCACATCTTCATGAATAACAACTGTATCAACAAAAAGGCAGATGTTAAACAACTGAGTGTCATTTACTCATATTTGCTAAACTGCGAAAAATTGGAGAACTTACATATCTCCCCAAATTTCAACTCTTCACAACCATAATTAGAATCTGTGTTTTGGCCGATTCCACCAGTAAATTTCATTCCACTCAAAATATAATAATTCTCTTCTCACGATTTATTAATAATTGTTAATTTAAATTCTCATTAATTAAAATATAGTTTATTCAACTGCCTCTGGTCGGTTTAACAAATTCTTACATAAAATTCTGAAAATCTCATCATCTGAAGTGATTTGGCAACGTTTGGCACACGCCCACAATTCGTTCCATCTTTCAACACACACATTGACATCCTTCGGCCTTCCGTCAAAGGGTTTCATGTCACTCATTATTCCATGACCACTAATTTGTGCAATCATCAAGTGGCTTCACGATGTAATGCTCTAATGTTTATTAAATAATTTTTAATCTGTTTTTAACTTGTTCTTGTCATATTTTATATAATTTTGACCATTGTACAATCTATCCAGCTCTCACCATGTTACTGGACGTTTCCCTCATCCTATACGTAAACAACAATTAGCAACATCCTCACATACTACTGTAAGTTGAGTCAATTTAAATTCATTTACACCTTTGTTGCTACTGTTATCATTGTAATTGCAGCTCCTGATGATGATGGCAAAGTCCATTGAAAGCTAGAGAGAATTAAAAAAAGTATAAAGAGTCCTCTTTGCTTAAATTTTGTCGAAGTACCCAACAAAAGGCGGAAGCTTTAATTTTTCACCTAACTGGTCTAGACGACAATGACCACGTCTCAAGTTATATATATATATATATATATATATCAAGAAATGTATAAGAAACTTTGTACTATTTGTAGGATGAGACCCCTGACACAGTCTAACATGATATTTCAATAAGGAATAAATAAATTAGCAGAAAAGGCTCATATCATGCCATAGGGTCAGCTTTGAACTTTGTAATGGAAACTGATCGCCTACTGCGCCCTGTAGCCAGCCAAAATTTTAATTGATATAGTGGATGTAAATGTAGCCTTCCAATCTACAAATTAGAATTTATTTTTGGAACCAGATATAAGAATATGCCATCTGGGATGTCAAAGTTCTATGTCATTTCTATAAGTTGCTTTACCCTGGCTATCTTATTTATGAATCATTTTTTTGAAAGCAGGATACAGTGTCATTCCGAGTATTAACATCTTAAACGTGGTTTTCACAGTTTTCGTTATCTTTTCCAGTTGTTGGGAAATTGGATTATATTCCAGGCCGATTTCTGCTAAAAGAGCCCGTAGGTGGATATTTTCCGATCTAACTGAGGCTTCTACTGGAGGTGTTTCAGGACACCGTGTATAACAAATGTACGTCATATCGATATGTTCCAGTCTGGCGGGCGGCGTAAATTGGTAGAAATATCTATCTTGAAAAGAAATCATATGTGCGCAAAATCGAACAGGCTTTATAGTCGTTTTAAGTAGACACACATTGTTGATGTATTGCTTTAAAGCTTTGGTTGAAGCTATCGTTGCTATCGATCGTTGGAAAACAAATCTGACTGCAAAATTAAACAAAAGCTCGACAATCTTTTTCTGAAACGTGAAATCGTTGTAGCTGTCTCGAGTTATAACACTCATTGTGTAGTTATGAGATCTTGAAAGTATCTGGCTAACAAATAACGGGCTCTCGATACTATGAAAACTTTACTGTTTCTAAACATATAATTCAAATAACCTGCCGATGGTTTATCATCTGTCAGGATACTAAAATCGAGTCTTACTACTGAAAATGGTAAATCGGTTACGGTAGCTATACATGGTGTTCCAGCCCTGCATTGCCGGCATGTTGCTCCTAAACTAAGACATTTTGAAGGCGCATTTTTTCAATATTCATAATTATACAGTTATTATTGAACCAAAGAAAACCTAGTCAGTGCAAGAACTGGCAGAGCATTTTATTTGTTTTTCCTTGAGAAAAACTATAACCATCTTGCAGTTTTGATTACTAATACATCCGTGTTAAATCAAAGTTTTGGGAAATCTTGCTAAATCTGAGCTTTGGAAAATAGAATAGTTGGACTGAAATTCTCACATCATCACGATTCAAGTGCGAGTACTATCAAAAATCGCGATTCCTACTGAATTTCCACCTTCCGCCTTCTTGAAGCACCTTCAAAAGGAACTTGGGCTATTTAAAAAAATCTCCACCCAGGGAACTTTTTAGCCGTGTAATCTTCTTGAAGTATCATTCCATGACTGTCAGTGAAATAAACTTGTGACGCTTTGGAATCCTGCTCTTAAATCGGTGGTCACATCGTCTGCTACTATTTGCATAATATTTATTACAATCAGAGTTTGCATTGCAATTTTTTGTTTTATTACAGGGTGTTAATAAAGTGCTAGAGGGCAATTGTTTAGCTGGTTTTGGTAATAAATGTTCATATACTCGGAATTTTCCTAGATACATGACCTCAAACTTCTCTGAAGCTCCAATCTCTAAAGAAGGAACGACATTTGACACTGACCGCACTGGCGCTCCCACGAGGGGGGGGGGGGTAAAGGAGTTAAGGAGGTAATTACCCCCTAAGACGACTAGAGCAGTCTTTGAAAAGGTGGTATAAAGTAAACGTCTTATAAAAAAATCTGTAACTTTAAGAAAGGATAGCGGCAACACTGCCAACCCGCTCAGTGCACATATGCGACTAGCGACTACTCTCCCACCAACAGTAACGGGTGCGTTTCTTCGTGTTGGAACAGGTATAGTCTAGTCTTTTATGGTCTAGTCTAGTGTCTAAATTCTGTACCAGTCCGGAGTCCGCAACAAAATTTGGCTCAGAAGTGAACAAGCGGAGTTCTGTTGATCTGGTTGGTATTAACGATATTTTCTATATTCTATTGATTTTTTATTTTCCACGCATAAGCCAGAAAATTAATTTTTGTTTGTTTTTAGTTGTTATACTGTGAAAGAATCGTGTCTAAAAAAATGACAGTCGGAAAAATGGAAATTTAATATAACTTCAATTACGAAGCGTTTGATCCATACTCCAGCTATCATTATCATCTATGTCTATTTTGTCTCAGAAATCCCTGTATATAAGCACTTCAGTGCATTTTATTCCTCCGAGATGGCAAATTATATATCTAGTTTTTGAAAATTGCGCGAACTTAAGAATTCTTGTTTTCCAAACAGAAAAGGTTGTTTGTTATGAGATACGAGAATGCGTTGAAACCAAGAATGCCGTTTATTCGACAATATTTGTGTATCTTTTAGTGCTGGTTGGCAGCTGCTGTGGTCAGGATGAGTAAACGGAAACAGAATACGATCGATTGGTTCCTTTCTAACAAAACAAACTGTCTGACTCACCGGCACAGGAATTACCGGAAAAAACTGATGATAATCCTACAATTCAACCTGAGCCTTCCACTTCAAAATGTCTTGATGCTGCACCGTATGCTGAACTAAGTGTTGAACAATCGGGTGCGAAACCTAAAGGATCTAATTTTGTTGATGTTGCGCCATATGTAAATTTCAGCGGCAACTTGTCTTCCCATGAAAAATATACCTTATTGAGGTGTGCAATGATCCCTAATGACTCTTTCAAATATCCCTATTCCACACACCTGAAAAATAATAAAGAAGTGAAATGTTACTTATCAAAAAAACACTTTGAGAAATTCTTGCTCAAACAGTCAAGAATTTCATTAAAACCAATAACATAGATTCAAAACTATGTGTGGCCATTGGTTCTGATACTTGTAAGCTAATGTTAGGTGAACAAAAGGGCGCTGTAATGGAATTGCAAAAAAATGTTTGAAAAATGCTCTAAAAAGTCTATGCGCAAATCATGCCTCTTTCGATTTCATAAAGCAGCAGTGTCCAAGCAGTAAGAAATACTGTAGGTATAATGAAAGAAGCAATTGCCTTCTTCAAAGCATCCGCTAAAAGAAACACAGTATTAAAAAGAAAACTAGACGGATATCAAATTCATAGTATTTGCGAAACACGATGTATCGAGAGACATGATTATGTGCTCCAATTTGAAAGCAAATTCGAGAAAATTGTAGAGGTACTAAATATTATATCAAACTGGAAAGGCCGCGAAGCTTCTTTGAAGACTGCCATTACGTCCACCCAATTTATCGTATCACTAAAGTGTTTGTGTGACATATTAGCTTTAACAGTCAACCTGAGTAAGATTTTACAATCAAAAACAATTGATAAACAATACGCTGTCAAACTCATAGGAAATATTATTTCACTTGTACAGAAAGACGCGCAAATTCCGAAAAACACTTTAGAATACTATTCGCATCTATAACGAAATCATATGCAACCCTGGGTGTTGAACTGACTGTGCCAAGAATAACAAGCAGGCAGATGAACAGGCCGAACATAGGTACGTCTGACAAGGGAAATCACTACAGACTGAACCTATATGTCCCTTTGCTAGATAATGTACGAGTATTGCAGGATTTGGTATGCCGGTTCAATGAAGAATCTTTGAATATATACAATTTTAACATTTTCTTTGCGTCAGTATTTAATTTAAAAACTGCAGCTGAAGTAATGGACATATTAGAAACAACCTCTAAATATTTGCATGGACTAAAAACTAACGAAAACAAAAATTTAATAAGTAACAGATTAAAAGCAGAAATTGACCATTGGCAGTCACGTATACTAGATATTATAGACAGTGGAATGTCATTGTATTTATCATGTGATAAAAATATTTTTCCTTCAATTAATAGATGCCTACAATTATTGATTTCATTGCCGGTAAGTGTTGCGACATCTGAAAGAAGTTTCTCCCATCTAAAGAGGATAAAAGCTTGGCTGCGCTCCACTATGTTACAAGAGCGATTAGTGGGTTTAGCTCTTTTGTATATGCAAAGGGATATTAAAATAGACGTGAGTACAGTCATAAATCGGTTCGCCAGCAAAAAAAGTAGGCGCTTTGATTTTGTAATATGATAACACCGCAACTTTGCCTAAGGTTGTCTCTCAAATCCATCTCCCTTCTGTTAGCCAGTAAATAAAAAAGCAGATGTAGTTAAGGGTTTACTTACGTTTAAGCCGCCACGGTGATCTTTTCCAAAGTATGCAATCAAGATATGTTATGTGGTTTTATTTATTGGCCAGCAGATTGATATAAAAGTCTGTTCAAATTCTGTTCAAATCACTTTCTAAGCTAATGTAATGATTGTTTTATTTTGAGACTGTGAACTGATGCAGTTTCATTCATAGTTTATATGTTTTTGTTTTTTGTGACTAGCTAGGAGAATGTAGTTATGCAATGAACATTTTTATGTTATTCTCATGATAAAAATTCTATTTTGATTTACATTCAGTTTTATACTTTATCGAAGTCGTTACATATTTGTTATTTTTTTTTCATTTTTTGTTGTTTTGTCTGACATTGTTATGTAGAGAAAAGTCTGTGATAGATTATAGTATTTTTCATTTTTGTGTTAATATATGAAGATTGCTCGAGCTTTGTTTGCTTTATATACACTTTGATCTCGTATGACTCAAAATTAAAGAAAATTGTATGTATTTTCTACAGAAATTACTCTAACAAATTCGTATGTCTGCATATGTCCGTGGTTTTAATGTTAAATCATTATAACACTTCAGTACGTCACACTGAGAATTTACTTTCCATTTTACCCCTCCCAGACTGAAATCCTGGGAGCGCGTCTGACTGACCGTTACCGATATTATGTATGTTTATATTGCCGTATCGGCTATATCAGACTATTTTGTCGATGTACGAATCAGCCGATATGACTGCGCAAATGCTAATTGATATACATTGTTAATGACGTTTAGCATTATTGGAGTGAAAAAAAAAACGCATCACAATACTTAGAAAAATATATTTCCATTGCATTCGAGTAACATCTTTTGTTAAGTGTATAATAGGTATTTTCAGTCTTCAGTTTTATCTCAATCTAATAGTGTCTACATGTACCAACCTTGTTATTTGTTTTCTGCAAAAAATAGGTTTTTTGCAAAGGACAGAACATGCTCGTACAATGTTGTATGTACCAAAAAAATTGCTTGTCGAAATGTTTGAAATCCTATCCTTTCTGGACGTTTGCAGATCAATTTTTATATTCTTAGTCTGTAGTTTGTCACCCTATTTTAGCTTTTTTGTTTGTACAGCTGATTACATCCTTGAAAAATGTGTAAAAGTTGTTGAGAATACAGTTACTTGTGTAATCACCACGTCCTTCATCTGTAATTGTAAAAAAGCTTACGCAATTCTCAGAATCGGCGAAGAAAATTGCCCTTCGAATTTGTCAGGCACTGTTTTGACACCCGGTATGAATGGATTCAACATTATACTTGTAGCTACCAAGTCTAAAAGCACAGCAGGCAGGCAGCTGGTTTATATATCTATATAAGATGTGAAGGTGAGACACAAGTCTTTCTCCGGATCTTATTGTCAAATGCATCTATTATTGTAGGTTGCACTTCGATTCTTATGTGTCATATCTGTGTAAATTATAACGTGAACAATAAGTAAATACCTGTATCATATCACTTTTAGTACAACAGCTACGACTATATGTTGGTAGTACCGTAGATAAATGAATAAAATTATTTTTTGGAAATATAACTGGCGTTTTATTATCTATAAATATTCACTTGTTCCGAAGAAAATTGAAGCTGATAATGTCTCTCCAATAAATTATTGATTTCAGACAAACCCCAGAAGTTTAAAACGTACCTATATATTGCTTTTCAGAAAGCCCCTTACTTATTTTTTGAACCAGTCAGGTTAGTAAGCTGAAATACTCGATGATGCAATTAGCCCATTAACAGTATATTGTAACAGCCTGTATAATTCGTTAGGCAACAGTGTGTGTTCTGTCATGTGTTGTAAAATTGTAGGTTAGGTATGTTGTCGGTTTTTTGTCAGATAGCTGTCAGTTTTGTTTATTTATAGATATTTTGATGTTTCGCGAAGTTTGTGGAGCTCTTCATTTTCACACGTGATCTGGACATGTTACTAGGGTATTGCTTGTGAGTTTCTCTTTTTGAGTGAATAAGACGAAACTAGAAGTATTTTATAAAAACTGTGACAAGAAACGGTCACTCGTGGCGATATCTTAACGTAACAGTAAGAGCCCTTTCAGACGAGGATACCCTATGCGAGATACGCGTATCCGAGATACAGATATTCCATACACCCAAATCGAACCTTTCAAACAGCACTAGCGACGCATTCAGTATCCCGAACGCAAATTTCGGTATCGCTCATCTTTCGGCCGCCGGCGACAGAATGCGTATGCCGCATACAGAATTATCATTATATTATACGGAGCTGTTCAGACACGCATACTTTTTCATCAGTGAATACGGTAGAACATAGTCGTTGGGTTTTTCTTATGTTAGTAGTAAATGAGGTAAAGAATTTAATTGGACGTTAATGTAATACGTATATGTATATAGAAATGGAACGTGCAGTCTTTGATAATGAAAAGTTTATAAGTTTGGTGGAACCAAATCCCTGTTTATGGGATACAGCGCACCCAGATTATTGCGATAGAAATAAGAAACAGCAACGCTGGGTGGAAATTGCCAAACAAATGTGCGACAATTTTGAGGAGATGACAGCAGCACAACAGAATGAATATGGTAAGACATTAAACATAATTTTATTTTAAATACATATTAGACTATTATAAGTAAGTAGTGGTGCAGGCTAAAAAGTTTACATATGGGATTATTTTCATTAAAATTTATTGTCCCAAAAATACTTAGTTCCTATAGATAGATTTTACTATATTTAGTTAAAACTAAAACACAATCTAATTTAGACATAAGAAACGAATATTTCAGAAATATTAGGAATAAAAATAAATTTCAAAATTTCAACAGCACTAGTTCACATGATACAACTATTCTGCCATGGTAATATATCAGTATTCATGAAATAGTCAGCAAAATAGTCACGAATAGCAGTCGCTGATCTTGCAGAACACGCTCCTGTTTTTGCAACATTAGCATCATAAATCCTTGGACGGATAAGGCATCTTCATGTTTATATCCATCTAGTACACGAACAAAATTATGGAGTACAGTACAAGCTTTAACTATGTCAACAGCAAAATCTATTGACACGTTGAGTGGTCTGTGAAATATTCTCCACTTGTTAGAAAGTATTCCAAAGTACACTCAATATATCTTCGTGCTCGAGTTAACCGGTAATTATGTATTCTCTTTTTTAATGTCAGATTTTTTCCACCATATGGCCTCATAACATTGAAGGATAAACCAAGTGCTTCGTCTCCAACAATAACATATAGGATTTTGTAATCATTCTTTTGTGGCAAAAATCTGGATTGGGAAGATCTAACTTTTTTGAGCTTAAGTTCTTATAAAAATGTGAATTCGTAAAAATGCTTGAATCACTGTTTTTCCCATAATCTCCAATATCTACAAATGTGAAGCAATAATTCGCGTCACACATCGCCAGTAGTTGTATTGAAAAAAAATGTTTATAGTTAAAATAAAGAGAACCACTATGTTGTGGTTTTATAACCCGATATGTTTTCCGTCTATGGCACCCAACAGTGTGGATAATTTGCATTTTTCAAAAAACCGTCTGCGATTTCTAACCATTTTTCTCGTGTGGGCTTTGGTATACATTGTTCTTTCATAAATATCCAAATTAGCTTGCATGTTTCCTGAATTATTTCGCTCGCTGTTGAAATTCCAACTCTGTAGTTATAATGTAGCTCAGTAAGGGAGCAACCAGTCGCCAGGTACCTGAAAATAATTAAAAAAAACTTGTTGAATTTTTCAGGGAAAGATCTACAAAAAAAATGGAAGAATTTAAGAAATTCTTTTGCTCGAGAGTTGGCGAAAAGAAAAAAGAAAAAAAGTGGTGACGGAGCTTCTTGGAAAACTTATATATTTTTTGAACAGCTATCTTTTTTGATGCGATGCTCTTCAAATAGAGAGTAAGAAAATTTAACTTGTCAAAATATGAACTACTAAATTAATAGATTTGTTTTAGGACCACTTCAAATTTTACAGAGGAAAATCATACTATCGAAGAAGCTTCGGATCATGAACAAAATGAGTATGTTACTCCTTTAAGGCCTATACATGTACAGAAAAAAAGGAAAGTGGCATCGGAAACCGACCATAACACTGAGATAGTGGGCCTATTAAAGGCAAATCTTGCACAGCGACAAACAAACGATATTATGCTAGACAATGACGGAGACCGACATTTCCTTCTTTCGCTACTGCCGGACTTTAGAAGAGTGCCAATTGACAAAAAGATGGATGTGAAATTGGCAATGATACAATCGATAAAATCTGCCCTATTACCCACTCAATCTGCATTTAATTACAACTATGTACAACATTTGCCGTTTTATCCATCCGCTCCTAATCCCCCTTCTACACAACATCTACCTATTCATAAGTCATCATCTTCACAAGTGCATGTTTATGGTCATCCTTCTTACACTCATTCTCATTTATCTCCCCATTCGTCATCCAACACTTCATTCATTGAGTTACAATGTTCATCCAATGAAAGAACAGACACTGTTCCCATCCTCTCACCCCATTCCGTTGAATCAACTGCCACCTCAACAGACGGATCCATCATCGATCTTCTTGTTGATTACCTAGGCTAAGACCAAAATTGTGGAGCTGATAATTAATTATTATTTTTCTTGTACTACTTTAAATACAAATAGATTTAGAAAAAAAACATCTATAAGTATTTTTTCCTTACCTTAATGTCATAGATAGTCGTTCTTTTGACGAAATACTTCTACGCATAGTTGTGTCCTTTTTAATTAGTTTGTTTTCCAAAATATTATGAAGTTTCTCAAAGGACTGAATAGACATTCGATAATAATTGAAAAACTTCGATGGATCTTGCAACAAATCTTCATGTAATAAATTATACGTTCCTTTGCTTTCTCTTAATCCCAACATGGGATGAACCCACAAACTACGTCTCCTTTTTAGTTTCTTCTTCTTATTATTTAATAAATACCACACCGCGATACACTCTTCTATTTTCATAATTACAACTGCACTACACTGCGTCTGTTTTGCGTATAACAAGGCGGTATGCGATACAGAAGTAAAAAGTATCCGGTCGTAATTCTGTATCTCGGATACTGTATCTCGCATACGGTATCCTCGTCTGAAAGGGCTCTAA